AAGATTTTGGTTTTCAATTACCGTGCTACATGACAAGTACTTGTGCAAGTTAATTAATTACTATTGAATAAATGGGGATTAATTACTAACACAACTTTTATTTTTTTTTAATGATTTCTCATTTCCAATGATACTTGACAGATGCTTGCACAAGTTACTTCAACAAGTATTGAGTCAATAAAGATTTTGGTTTTCAATTACCGTGCTACATGACAAGTACTTGTGCAAGTTAATTAATTACTATTGAATAAATGGGTATTAATTACTAACACAAGTTACTTAACAAATATGTGTATGTTTCAATTGGATGCGTTCCCTTCGGCATTGAATCCAATTACTTTTGTTTTGTCTGTTTCTCAGTGTCCTCCGTGTCGAGCGTTCACTCCACAATTGGCCGAAGTGTACAGACTGATCAGGAAACGGGAGCCGGGATTCGAGATCATCTTCATAAGCAGCGACAGGTAAATTGAATGAATCATCGAATGAATGGGTTTGTACCTGGCGCTTCTTCATAAGGAAGCGGCTTTAATAACGGTTGGCGTTTTGCGCGTTCGCTCGAGGGGGGTTGTGGAGGAAAAGAAAAAAAATCGATGCCACCCCCAACCCAACCCCTCTTCACAAGGTGGTGGAAGAGTGAGAGAGAGAGAGACGGAGAGGTTGTGTGTTATTGGATTTCCCTATGCACCCAAACCCATCCCATCCATACGAAGGAATAACTGAACTGGGGTGGCTTCTGCCACTGCTGGAGGAGGGTGTCAAGTGGTGGCGGCGGCGGCGGAGGCGGCTGTATGAAATATTGTTGCGAGGGTTGCGGAGATAAGAGCATCATCGTCCTCTCCACCACCCCTCTCACCCTTAGCAACAACCACGAAAGTCCCCTTCACCACCCCTTTAAGAATACGCCACCCACTCGATTTTTTTTTTATTATTATCCACCGTTTTTTGTTTTGTTTGTAACTTCTTCTCTCTCTCTCCTTCGTCGTATCCTCGTAAATATTATCTTTTAACCCTTTTTTTTCTTTCGCTCTTGACACATTTAACCAAAGAGACTCTCGCTTAATGCAGACATTAAGTGTATTTTTTTTTTGATAAATTTTGTAAAATTGAAATTTTTGATTGAACAATTTTTTCTTATATAAAATTGTTAAAATGTTTCAATTCTTAATTACATCAACTTTGGCTTTGATATTCTACGAAAATAATTAAAAAATATTGATAGTAAATGATGAATTTTGAGAAATCAATAAAATGTGAAAACACTGCTTTTTTAACGTTTTTTCAACGTATTTTTTTTTCTTTCGCTCTTGACACTTTTAACCAAAGAGACTCTCGCTTAATGCAGACATTAAGCGCGTCTCAAAATCTATAAGTTTTAGAATCTGATGATTCAAAAACTATTCGTGAATTTATGTATTTTTTTTTTGATAAAATTTTTAGAATTGAAATTTTTGATTGAACAATTTTTTCTTATATAAAATTGTTAAAATGTTTAAATTCTTAATTACATCAACTTTGGCTATGATATGCTACGAAAACAATTAAAAAATATTGGTAGTAAATGATGAATTTTGAGAAATCAATAAAATGTGAAAACACTGCTTTTTTTAACTTTTTTTCAACTTTCAACGTAATTTTTTTTTCTTTCGCTCTTGACACTTTTAACCAAAGAGACTCTCGCTTAATGCAGACATTAAGCGCGTCTCAAAATCTATAAGTTTTAGAATCTGATGATTCAAAAAATATTCGTGAATTTATGCATTTTTTTTTTGATAAATTTTTGAAATTGAAATTTGCGATTGAACAATTTTTTCTTATATGAAATTGTTAAAATGTTGAAATTATTAATTACATCAACTTTGGCTATGATATGCTATGAAAACAATTACAAAATATTGGTAGTAAATGATGAATTTTGAGAAATCAATAATATGTGAAAACACTGCTTTTTTAACGTTTTTTTCAACTTTCAACGTAATTTTTTTTTTCTTTCGCTCTTGACACTTTTAACCAAAGAGACTCTCGCTTAATGCAGACATTAAACGCAACGATATGCGCGTCTCAAAATCTATAAGTTTTAGAATCTGATTATTCAAAAATATTCGTGAATTTATGTTATTTTTTTTTGATAAATTTTGTAAAATTTAAATTTTTGATTGAACAATTTTTTCTTATATGAAATTGTTAAAATGTTTAAATTCTTAATTACATCAACTTTGGCTATGATATGCTATGAAAATAATTAAAAATATTGGTAGTAAATGCTGAATTTTGAGAAATCAATAAAATGTGAAAACACTGCTTTTTTGAACGTTTTTTTCAACTTTCGAAGTAATTTTTTTTTTCTTTCGCTCTTGACACTTTTAACCAAAGAGACTCGCTTAATGCAGACATTAATCGCAACGATATGCGCGTCTCAAAATCTATAAGTTTTAGAATCTGATGATTCAAAAATATTCGTGAATTTATGTTATTTTTTTTTTTGATAAAATTTTTAAAATTGAAATTTTTGATTGAACAATTTTTTCTTATATAAAATTGTTAAAATGTTTAAATTCTTAATTACATCAACTTTGGCTATGATATGCTATGAAAACAGTTAAAAAAAATTGGTAGTAAATGAAGAATTTGTGAAATATTAAGTTTTTTTTGTTTTGTTTTAATTATTTGTTAAATTTTCTTTACTTCTTCCTTATGTGAGGTGACTACGATCCGCTCCGCTCGAACTTTTCTTTTTTGTTTCTTTTCTTTTGTTTTATCTTCGGATGGCTGCAAGAACAGCACCCTTCTTTTTCGTTCGTTCAAAAACCAGAAACGGAAACTCTCTCCCGGTGGATGAATATAAATAAAGCATTTATTTACGTCGCGTGCCTCTCTGTCTCTTAGAAATCGCAGGGGGCCGTTTTTATGGGGGGAGTCACAGCCACCTCCTCCTCCTTTTTATTATCTAGAATGGAAGGTGAAGGGGCATCAACAATTCCGACAGAAACTATAAAAACCACCTTTTTATCACCTCCGGGGGAAAAAAAAACATGCAGAAGGGAAAGAAATAAAAAAAAAAATGTGGGCGAGGTGTTTTAATTACCGATGATTACGTTATTATATTACGCACATATCACGAGGAGGGGTTGGTGGTAAGTGAGACAGTTTGCGTGCGCGATAAGTGCGGAAAAAGCTAATAAAAACCTTTATCGAAAAAAACCAACCGCAAAGAAAACGGAGCGGGTAAAAATTTTAATTAAGAAATGTCTGGGGGGGGGATGAAAGATTGCGCACATATTTCAGTCAAGCATTTTGTTTTTGTTTAATTGCAAACTATAAACAATGCTCGTAACTTTGCCCATACCAATTGCAAAAAAGAAATGTGACTGTGCTTAATTATTATTTAGAAAATCACTAAAATATGAAGTATTCAATTACAGCCAAACCGATGAAACCACAACAATATACGAATACTCGTTACATTCCCCAA